TTTTGTCTCGTATAGATCAAGAGTACATTACTTCTTCTTTTCTTGTCGGCCGACAGAAAAAAACGTTTTGTTGTCTTCGGTGTCGGTTCAGCCTTAGTGAGTGGAAGAACTTTTTAGTTTTTTCTCCAATATTTAAACGTTTCAGGCCAAGGCTTAAGCTTTTTATATTCCAACAGCTAAAACTACTTTTTTTTAGTTAAACTCTTTACCCGGGACTATTATTTTTACACACGCGCGCACACAGCTGCCCTCCTCCCACGCATATGCATATGTACATACATACATACATGTATCTTCATATATGTATATTGTATAATCACACAGATATAAAATGTTGCTTAAGGTGATCAAAACTCTCCTATATATGTAGGCATGTATTACTTATTTCTTAAGGTGTTAAAGTTAAATGAAACACAGCTGAAGCTCCTTAGATAATGTTACTTAGTGCCCCTAGTGATAATGATTCTACATAGGTACTGTTCTAACTAATTTATGTAAGTGCATCTACTATGATATTGTGTTGTTTGTGTACGCATCGTTTAACCTAAGTAAATTAGTGTATTCTGTGTATGTACTTACGTAGTTGTAAATTATAAAAAAAAACTAAAATAAAATAAACAAATAATTTATGTTGCAATTGAAATTGTCTATTTTTCATGTAATCTATTCTTGCTTGGTATCAAAAAGCTCTTAGAGGTCGTTCCCAATTCTGACCCAAACTTTCCACCTTGTCACAACCATATTTGAATAGCTCAGCTAACAAAACCTCGACTCCAGCAGCTATGTTATTTTTGAGCCACGCCACGGGCGTTTGATTTCCGTTAGAATCGCGTAACGGTACATCGATTATCTAATCATCGTTTGCGGGATCCGGTCATTATTCAAAGTTCCCATCGCTGGTAACATTCAGCCAATCGGGAAGCGTTCGCTGGACTTCAACTATCATCTTAGCGTTTTCGTTCTTACAGCAATTTGTTCCGGTCGTAGAATCTTCCAAATGTCGTCCCACTTTCTGATCGAATTTTCTGACGTTACTCCTGTCCGCCAGAAACTCAAGCTCTCGCAAACACCTCGATAAAGCTCCTGAACTGACGTCAATGTAGTGTCTGTTGGTGTTGATGAGGTGCGGGTTATTTTCCCAAACCGGATAAATATGAGTTGAATTTGTATAAGTAAGCTGCTAAAGTGTCCACATTTGCTAAGACGGTCTTAGATTTTATGACCTATCTACCCCTGCAAATGAGTGAGGTGTCCGCTAACGTGGCCTGGATGTATGGCTCTGTTCGACAAGTTCTAGGTGGGATTGATAATCTCGTGGAATCTCGGCAATAAGCGTTTGGGCAGAACGTGTTGTGATCTTTCACAGGGTTTTATTGCAGCCTCGTCATCCATGTGTTTTTCTGACGTCTTAGGCGACAACCTGTGGGAACCCGTTCCAAAACAATCGGAACCGAAAATCGGCCACGAGGCGGACATTGTACTATAGGCAAAAATTTAATATTTTGGCATGAATTCTAAATACGAAGATATCAGCCCGATACTCGGTTTAGATATGTATTCTAAAGTTCTAAGTGGGCCTACCAAATATAATTCAGTTCGAGGCACTATATAATATAACCGCCATGTACCCGAAGTAATTTAATTTTTGTAAAAGTTTTTCTAATCTTTTGTTAAGCTATTTCAATAGGGCCTATTTCCCTTGCTTTTTTTTTTAGAACTGGAACCGGTCCGAATTCCTGGTTCTCCTTGGACTCGGACTTGATAAAACCAGTTCTTTATATACTCGGAAAGCGCACATCACTAATATGCAGTGTTACACTTAGCGAACACAGCAGCGAACATTAGTCGATGTTCAGACACGGAAACTTTTGTTGCTGCAACTCGGAGCTTGGGGGGAGGAGGCGACGAGGAAAGGGGACCGAGTACCGAGTTGCGACGTTCCCACGACTGTAGGGTCTACGTAACTGGACCGTCCCAAATATACATATGTTTATCTGCACAATGAGGGTCCCTCCAGCTGATTCCCAAAATCTCTTGGAAAATGTTTATGCTGTGTCAACAACAACAACGAAAATTCGGCTGCCGCTGGTGTTGTCACCCATGCCTTACTTCCCTCCCTAAATTGGTGCGTCAAGTGCCTGACAAAAAGGAGAGGAAATTAGAAAACGTCAAAAATTATGCAGCCTTGATTTGGGGATAGCGCGCGCTCAGAGAACGTAAATTTACGTTCGTTGGCTCGCTGACCTTGGCAAGCATGTGAAGACGGCCGGTTAGGGACGGCAGTTACGCTAATACAAATTCGCCGCCGTTACAATAGATACCCACAAGCGCTGCACTCTAAGGTGTTTACAGTTTTTGCCAATTCGTTTTGACACTTCGTTTGTTATTTATCGGAGAAAATATGATTTAAATATCAGTTTTTTTCGCAATATTTAAAGCATTTAACAAAACAAAACACCTTCTAGAATCATGGAGAATACAGCACAACGTTTGGTGCCACAAAGCCCACTACTACAAGCTGCCATCAACAGCGGCAGCCCAATGAAAGATGGCTGGCGTGATGAATTCTATTCGAACAATAATGGCTCACTAAAAAATAAGATTGAGATTAATCGCATCTTTGGAAAGAAGTTTCATTACCAAAAAGCCAAGGATGAGAATAATTGGGCATTACCACCACCCAAAGAACTATTAAGCGAGTTTTATCAGCTGGAGCCATTGCAGCAGCTAAAGCCTAAATTGAATGGCGTGAAGTGTAAATTGAATGATTACATACTTGAAGATTGGAGTCTACATACAAGACGGCAAGATCCTTCTAATGAAATTCCATGGCGTCTTAAAAATGAAACTAAAGCGGAATTTGTGACAATTGCATGGTGTAAATTTTTCGAGTGCCTTCACACTTATCCGCTAGTTAAGGGACCCACACTGAATTCTTTGCACCTGTGCGAATTGCCCGGAGCTTTTATTGCGGCTCTAAATCATTACATGTATTCGTCATTCAAGAAGGAAGAGGTAAACTATACTTTAGGGATACATTTATGATGATTGTGTGATTTCAAATGCTACCACTTGTTTAGGTGCAATGGCGCTGGCTGTCGACTACACTTAATCCGTATTACGAAGGTAATCCTACAAACGGCATGATTTCTGATGACCGATTTATGTTCCACACATTCGATAATTGGTTAATGCACGATGATTTCACTGGCAATATTATTAGTCGGGACAATATTGAACAAATGGAAGAACAGTGCAAAAAGCGCTTGGAAGGCAATGTTCAACTAATAACGGCTGATGGATCAATAGATTGCGTTGATGCGCCCGATTGTCAAGAAGAAGTTGTGGCATCTCTTCATTTTGCCGAAATCACTACAGCCTTACATATTTTGGCTGAAGGTGGTTGTTTTGTAATGAAAATGTTTACACTGTTTGAATCCACAAATGTCTGCAAACTTTTTCTGCTAAACTGCGTTTTTGAAGAGGTGCATGTATTTAAGCCTGCCACTTCAAAACGCGGTAACTCGGAGATCTACGTAATTTGTATTGGCTACAAAAAGAAAACGAAGTACTTGCCAGAGACTTTACAACTGATGAAGGAAAATGTCGAATGTTCGAACATATTTCCACTTTTCCCAAAATCCTATTTACCGAATGACTTTTTGCTACAACACGAGATATGCTCGCGTCTTTTTATGAATCTGCAAATTCAATCTATCGAAGCGAACATTCAAGCATATGAAGTGAAGCCTACACGACGCCAGGTCAATTATAAGCAACAGCTGCGCACTGATATCGCAAATGAATTTTATAGGCGCTATAAAGTACATAGCATCGCCGAGGAAGACAAAATTCTATTTGGATGCCCAAAGACAGATGAGAACTATACGAATGCACCATTTTGTAAAGGTTCATATTCAGAACGCGAAATGGCTAAGGAAACTACTGTGGAGGAACGCATTTTCGCACTGTATCGCTTTATAAATAATCTAGAGAAACTCCTGGACTTTAATTATGGTGTGGAGTTTAAAGAATGTTTTGATACAAAAAAATCGTCATCGGCTGAGCTCCGCATTTATCGAGGTGTTGCTTTCTCAGAGCTGCATAGCAGTCTTTTTGCACATCCCTTTGTAATGCAATTGCATCAAAAACTTATGGAGGCGTTTTGTCGAGATCCTGTTTATATGGTAACACCCATTTGCAGGGTAGACGACAAGGAAATTACATTAAACGCAGATAAAACTAAAGGTTTTTCCCTTGTTCCACATGAATTTTATATGGCATTGTTAGATGCTATATCTGAAAGACCACCTCAGCGAATAATTTTATCACATTTTGCATTTTTAACACACCTATCAGTATCCATATTGCGCTTTTTAACATTGTGCATTTTCGCTCAATTAAAGATTTGTGCAGAGCCGCGATTTCTGATCGAGCTGGAAGGCAGGAGTAATGAATATACTCGAGAACAAAAATTAACTTTAGAAAAGTTGCGCAATATCCTATCAGAAGATTCAAATGTGTTATGCATTATGCCTATTGAACAACTGCACCGCAACGATTTTGCCAATGAACTTATAAATTATAATAATCAACTCTTAATGAAGAACTTCAAACTAGCTTTAAAAAACTAAGTTTACATATGTTTATTAAATATAAGAATTTCTACTGAATTTAGATTAAAAGAAGGAACAAATTATACTGGTTTTTAGCTTGTTCTCGCAAAATTTTGTTTTGCATACATATGAGCGTATGGGTCAAGCCCTTAAATTCTAATTCCTCGAACATTCAAACATAATAGGGTTTCCAAATTACTATTACTTTAAGTGAAACGAATGAAAAACAGAAAAAATATCTATAATTTCAAAGCAAATCATTCATTATTTTCAGGAATATAATATGCAGCAGCATGGCGCATAGTCTGTATCTTATTCAAATCGCCTACATCTTTTCCATGGTTTCTGCCATATATATTTAGAGTAATTTTACAAATGCGTCCGTGACTGGAAATGCACCTCAATCCAATGCTGTTATATTTTATTCCGTATGTTACATATATTTTTCTACTTCACTTGAATAAATTTTTGGCAGCGCTTCTTTCCTAATCTGTCGGTCGTTTTTCGCTATTCTTTCGGGTGTGCTCTTCAGCATTTTTCATAAAACGTTTTCGATCCCTCAGATACTCTTCAGCCAGGTCGGCACGCAGCGGATGTTCTGGCTCAGGATCATTAATTAGGGCAATCAATGCTTGAACCACTTGGTCTGTACGTGTTGCAGGCTTCCAGTTTTCGGTCGAAATAATTGGTAGGCATACCTGCCCCTTCTCATCAATATTTGGGTGATAGATCTTCGTCTTAAAAATTATCTTTGGCGGTTTGAAGGGGTACTCCGCGGGAAAATTAATTTCAATTCGAAATGCACCTTTATTATAGGGTGCATTATCTGGCACTATTAAGCCTGTCCAGCGCAGCAAATTTTCTTCGTCTGCATTAATTTCTCGGAAGGATTTCAGGCCACACGCTTGCAGATCAGTCAGCTCTTTTCGAAGCCTGCGCGGTGCAGTCATCTCGTACTAAACGATTTTCGCTACTCTCTTCTTTAAGAGCTACCCACAAATCTATTTGCGGGTTAATGTATTTAAAAAAAAAAACAATTTTGCAAAATTTAGTAAAATTCCAGAATTAACTTCTGCCCACCTTTACGTTTCTTTTGGATGTTTATTGAAGAATGTCATATAAAACGTCAAGAACGTCAAAATAAAAAAATATAAAAGTGTTGCGAATTATTTGGTCCCTAAAGCTGGATTAACATGAGGCGATTCAACATTGCTCCAGAAAAAACGTTCGTCTAAATGGTGATTCTCAAAGTAAAAGGTGTTTGCACGAGACGATTTTGCGTTCAACTTTTGTGTTCAACTCACGCAGGGTTGCACGAAAAAAATTGAATGGCTAAATTTTGGCTGGCGACCAACCAAAAGTATAATGCAAAGCTGAACCATGCAAACGCCTTTTCATGGCGAATATTTTTATATTTTTTTATATTTTGATACTTTTAGCCATTCAATTTTTTTCCCGCAACCCTGCGTGAGTTCAACGCAAAAGTTCCCTGAAAAATCGCCTCGTGCAAGTCACAGTAGACAGCAACTCAACTTTAACATGCGATTATCGCCTGTCAAAAAATCGCCTCACGTAAAGGCAGCTTAACCGATTCCGGTAGCGCATTTCGCCCCATGTAGTGCTCAGCAATGACTTGTAGGGATATAAATGCTCATATTATCATTATTACTAATTACAAAATTTCTTATCAAAGTATTCATTTTTGTTCCNTAGTTTTTTTCGCGGAAACAACAACTACAAAATTTATTAAAGGTCAAAGTTCAAATTAAACAATTCTTTAAAGCAAAATTTCTTAAGGAATGCATGGGTTTTAAACTTTTGATCTCCTTTGATAGAAAATTTAGTTTGTTATCCATATATACATACATATATGTTATGTATAGGTGTTATAAAAATTGTATTAATGTAAAAAATATATTAAACAAATCTTTGCAAACCCATTGTTTAAATTCCCTCATGTACACGTGTATGCATGTATATAGCAGAGTTGTGAAAAATGCATTAATTTTTTAATGCGTTAATGGTATTTAAAGCAATAATGTTAATGTAACAAATTAATGCATTAATTTATGAAATTTAATGCAAATGAATATTTCAATGCATTAATTCTGAAAAATGTAGTGCTAATGAAATTTTTTTTCATTAAATTATCCAAGCTAATGCTAATGAAAAAATTTTAACGCACTAAAATGTTTAATACTTTTGCTCGTTTGCATTATTAAAAATCATTAAATTTTTATTCTAGTAAAATATAAATAACCTCTTTTGGAAGGACTTGGAATAATTACTAATAGTTTTTTCAGGTTCATTATTAGTCTGTTCCTTTGAACTTCGGACTAAAACCTGTGGAACTGTCAAACTACAATTTTACTCTCTCAAATGAGAGTAAAAGGAGAACAGATGCAGAAGTCCATAGGAACGCAAAAAGCACTATTTCCTGTAAAAACGTCAGACGGTTTGTTTACATGTCATTGGTACTACACTGATTTGGCTGAAATATCACTAAATAATTATTAAAATCTATACATATTTAAACATTTCGTTGTTTNTTTTTTGCGTTCCTTTACTTTTCCTGTTATTCTCTTTTAGTGAGCGCATTTTGCTTACGCTCTGGCATTTTGACACTTTTCAGATTTTAGTCCAAAAAGATAAGGAATGAACCTCTTACAGGAAAAGAAACTCCGGACTAAATCCTGTAACTTCTGACTAGGAACAGTTGCTCAGTTATTCTCTCAAATGTGTTCCCACTTACAGGTTTTATGTCAATAGGAACGACTTCCTGTAAGTTCTGACTAAATCCTGTAAACCGGACTGCTATTGGAACAGACTATATATTATGTGTATTTGTAGAAAAATTCTTCTAAACATTAATAAATGTTTTATGAAAATGAAAGCCAATGTGCATGCAACGCAGAGTGCTTTTGTAGATTTTTATGTTAATTGTTGATGCATACCGATTACATATATTAAGTATGAGCCAAAAACGGACAGATAGCCAGTTTAGCAGCGCATGTACACGACTGAGGACCTACTCTGATCTAAATCAATCAATAAACCGTTTTTTTAGCTCCATTGGACAATGTGATTTTACCTATTTAACGACAAATGCCATTGAACTTGACATAGTGAAAACCAGCCTTAACGTCCGTCACTATCTTTTTTGACCTTAAAATTCTACCCTCAACGTCAGCAATAAATTATTGCAATAGCATTCATTTAAACATTTAATGTTAATACAAAAAAAAATCATTAGCATTATTTCTTCGGAATTGATGCATTGGAATTTTCATTTACATTACATATCAAAAATTAATGCATTAATCTTTTTCATTTACATTAAAATGCTATGCATTAAAAAATTTAATGCATTTTTCACAACTCTGGTATATAGTTAATGGAATATTAATTTTTTACTTTTTTTATTTTTTACGAAATCCTTCTAAAGAACTAAATCAAAAATTATCACCCCTATTGCGAGTGTCGACTAGTAGTAGTTAAACGACGTTTATTCGATTAACGATTATCAGTGGCATTTTCAAAGTCGTTTTCTCGTTCAATAAGTGAGTGAGAATAGTTTATAGTCGCCCATCTTTCTTCAAACAAACAGTTGTAGAAGGATGAGCGATTAAAAGCTATTGTTGTTGTTGTAGCCGCTACAACAACAACAACAAACCCCGCCCAGATCGGCTAGTCCCTCAATTGTTGTCGACGAGCTCTACTAGCGGTAGCCCCAGGAAGCGTGCAGCCTCGGTGGGGTCTATCCATAGGGACAGGGGCGTCAGTAGGGTGGAGTTCAGTGGCCATGGGAAGAGATGCTGTGTGTCATGGGGCGTCTGTCCGCACGACGGCCATTCATTTAGAACATCTTCGTTTAGTCTGCTCAAATATGAGTTCGACCTGTTGCAGCAAGCATGGCGCAATTGGGCTATTGTGGTCCGAGTATTACGGTATGCTCCTTAATAGGGAGTATATGAGCCTCGTCGTGCCCCAGATTTCATTGTCTTTGCCACAGGTGCTGCTGGCTAGCGACTTGAGGACCTTGTTGCGGCTTTGTACTTTGACAATTGCGGTTGTATGCGCCGAGAAGGAGAGTAGACTGTCGAAGGTTACTCCGAGGATCATTATGTTGTTCACCGTCGGTATTGGTTCGTCATCGACGTGAATACCCAGTTGCAGTCGGACCTCCTTCGTCCAAGTGGGGAAAAGTGTTGCTGAAGATTTTATAGCGTAGAGGGTCAGGCTCCCAGACGCTTATTGAACGAGGAATCGACATTCACAATACTATGGAAAAGTGATTATCTACTAGTCGTTTATTGCAGTCGACATTCAAAATTTCCATGAAAGTAACGAAGATTAGTAAGATGAATATAAATAAGAAGTATATGCGGAAGTATTGATTCATGTACATACCTATGCAAAGTTGTCTCCAGCATGGGGAACGTCACTACACATTGTGCTTTTACTTTGGTAACTATTCATGTATGTATGTACATATTTATGTATGTATGTATGAAGGTATGTATGTATTATTTAGTACACGCATGCACTCACAAGGCCAATAAAATTTCACTGGTTAGAATTTCTACGTTTATTTGGAGATGACCTTCGCAAATATATTTGCTATTTGTATATTTTTTCACTGAATGCCAAATTTATTTAAACAGTTGTTTTAAAACGGCGCTAAACTATTCGCGCTATCAAATGGCGCATAACTATATAAATCCGCAATTATTTCGAAATCAACATTCACAACCACTCTAACTTTCAATTGAACTAATCTACATTTTTCGACGATATAGTCAAAATGAAATTTCTCAAAGTTTTTCTACCATTGCTCCTTATTGCAATTTTCTCATTGAAGATTTGCAAGGCTCAAACTTCAAATAGTACTAGCACAACGAATAGCACTACGCCAACGGGGACAGGTTCTGCTAAAAAAGTCTACATTAGTAATCTTCGCTATACAGCAGTAAAACGGATAAGGAACAATAATTTAGGAAGCAGTAGCAGCAGTAGCAACAGTAACAGCAATAACTGGAACAGGAACAGGAACAGGAACAGGAGAGCTAACAGAAATAGGAATGGAGGACGTAGCAGGAATGCAAACAGAGGACGTAGATCCAATCGCGGTGCCGGAAGCGCCAATGGCAGAAGACGCGGTGGCAATAGAAGGCGTAATTCTGTTATCAGACTTAACTAAAATTTTGGAAAAATGTATTGCTTTTTGAAAATTATTATCTACGATATAAGGATGTTGCAATGTTAATCTTAATGAATAAATACATACGTACTATGTACATAGTAAACATGCATTCATTTTTTTAATTTGTTATGATGTACCATATAAAATTCAATTTATAAATTTTTTTAATGAAGTATGTTACCGGAAAATTTGGACCACGTGAACCATTTTGGTCTTTTGTTTTTTAACGGGAAAATGGTAACCCACGGGTGGTGCACTACTAATTTGGTATAGTTCCGAAAATTAGATCATGAAAAAACTAACGGTACTCCTAAATTTTTAGACGAGTATAAAAGTTGGCAGTTTTTTTTT